ACAAGCCTATCTCACCCAACCTCTCCATTTCCAACCCATACTCTTCCTCATAGCATTATTTTGTTGTCTCAATTGACTTTGAGACCCTAAAAACGTGGGGTGGCCTCCATTCATGTGGGAGGTCATCCCAACTTGTCCCGAAATGTACATTCGGCACCGCAAGTTGCATTTTTTGAACTGTTTTAATTATATTTTATTTTATCAAATCAAATAAAATATATCTCATGTTCCCAATGATTATGGGACTTTAGAATGAATATACATTACCCAACTTTAATTTAGAAGTCCCCGGAATTTATTTCGGGTTGTTATATGATAAATCACAATTATCGATAATTGGGCATCATTTGACCCATCGGTCAACTCCATACCATTTCTATGGTCAACCTTGAATATAATATGTGGTCTTAGAATTATCGGGTGGTCCCCGCTCCCAGTGTGGGCCCCACGTGCAATTTAGTATTCACGCAAAAGTAATGACAAAAATTTACAACTTCGTAAATTCATTAACCATTTCTCAAGGACCGCTCCTTTTGTGCTTTGGAGTGAAAGAATGGTTGCGAAAACAAGCATCCATCTCGTTCGTATGTGGATACCTGTATAACTATCGAAGGCTGTTGAAGTGACTAATTTCCGGAAATTAGCAGGCGTTGAAAAGCTATAAATGATTTGGAGGATTTCTACATATCTGAAAAAATAAGTTTGATGATAGGAAAAGGGATCTTACACGAAGGTTGGCTTGAGATTGCTTGTATAAACACTAGCTCTACTCAGTCAATAATCAGAATATTTATATTTGTTAGATTTTCTTTTTTTGATTACATGCATTCTCATTATGCACATAAGGGACGAGAGGAGCCGTATGAGGTGAAAATCTCATGTACGGTGTTGAAACGGAGATTCTTTTTTTTATTAAATTCATTACTAATGACCTTAACGGATGTCGGCTCAATCCGAAGGAAAATGTGTGGAAGCTTTATAGAATTATTATGAAGCTACAAAAGTAAAACTACTTGGGGAAGGTTTTACAACTCATTCGGTGGATTGGTGGTGCGGCTCACTCAATTGGTTGGCTACTTGGACACCCACCTCCGAGTCTTCCCATTGTAAGATTTCTTTGATTCAAATCCCAACCCTGGAAATGAGAGATTTCTTTTTCCCAATGAGTATTGTACCTTCATGGAGTAGCTCAGGTGATGAGGAAGGAGGAAATGGTAACTGAGGTAGCGAGTTCAGGTAGTGGAGCAATAGCCTAGTTCATTACAAATGTCGTAAGTCATGTTGAATCTGTTCTTTCGAGTCCGTACTAACGAAAGTTGACTATTATAAAGTCTTGATTTATTTGTTTAGGGGCTTTGTAAGGAAGTTCATAAACTACGAAAGCACCGACACATAGGACTGGGTCGAAAAAAACAAAAACCAAAAATCGAATCAAATTAAACTGAATCGCGGCCAAATAAAACTGAATCACTAAAAAACCGAAATCGAATGTAAAAAACCGAACCAAACCGTAGTGGTATGGTTCGGTTTTGGTTTTCACCCTTAAAAACCGATCTGAACCGAACAAACCGAACTAATTAAATATTAAAGTGTGAAATTTTATTTGTTAATTGTTAAGCATTAATCCTATTATCCTAGTATCATCAATAGCTTTTGCTTTTCTTGTGCTAGGGAAATAATGTTTGTGTCATGTTTAGTTTAGTTTATCCTATTATCCTAGTACGTATCATCAATATATTTTGTTTTTTTTGTGCTAGGGAAATAATGTTTGTGTCATGTTTAGTTTAGTATATCAATGTATTTACACATTCATTGCCTCTGATAATGTAACTATAATGATCTATTATGTCTTTTATGTATGTATGTTGCAATTTGTTACATGATGATGATATGTCTTTACTCGTCATTAGTAGTGATTAACTTCTATTTTGATGCAACTTAAATTTTTTATATTGATAAAACAAATAAATATTTATCTCAACTATATCACATAGGACGTATATATTCATGAACTTTATCTAAACTAGTCACAAACAATGTAAGTTAAGAATACACACTTTTAGTTCTCCCGCATACTTATATAATTCAAGACATATTTATTTCTTCTTAATTTTATTTTATTTGTTCTCGTATGCTTGCATTTTTTATGTAATATGTTTGATCCCTCTAACTATTATATAAAGTTTAAATCAAATAAAAAAAATTAGTAAAAAACGAAACCGGACCAAAACAAACGGAACCAATCAAACCGTGGTTCCAAATTTTGGAGCGTAAAACCGAAACCGAACTGAATTTTATACTTTGATTCCGATTTTAGGTTAAAACCGAACCGAAAGAACCGAACTCACCTTTACCAACACTTGAATCATAAAAAATAAAGCTTGTTTAGTAGAGGGGTTCATTATATTGTTGGTCCCCTTTCTAGAGAAAATTGTCTAAATAGGTGAAGAACATAATATATATTCTCAACTAGTGTCATAATTTTCTTATTAGATTCGGACAAATTTTAATGTCTATTATAGGAATAAAACATACTTAGGATCTTTTTAATTGGAGTGTGATTTTACGGTCTATTCTGGTTCGTTTAAGTTTGGTCTGGTTGAATTTGATTTAAATTGCTATAAACTAGTCTAGTTTTATAGATGTATGTTCTATGTGTATTTTCCAAATCTGGTCTGATTTGATCGAAATCAGTCCAATGAAAACATCATTTTGTTCTATTTTGGAACTTTCTCCATGTTTCTCTCTCATTCTGACCAATTTCATTTTGTTGGTTGACATGTGCAAATATACTACTAAATGGGGGAAAATATTTTTTTGCATTTTATCCGAGTTCGAACTTTATAAATTGTAACGGGTCGAACCCAAGTCGATAATACTAAACTAGTAAACTTGGTCAAACTTGCATACATTTTTTAAGCTTAAAATCGAGTATACCCAAGTTGAAGTTCTCTTTAACTCGTTCGAAAACCTAAACTCCAATTCCTGTATAAATGAAATAGACAAGTGTAACAAAGTATTCAAACAAATTAAATGAAGAAATTGTAGACTTAATTGAAAAGAAAAAATAACATCATTTTATATGTACAAAACACGTAGAATTAAATGAGCTCAACGATAATTACAGGGATCATTTGGTCAACCACCAAAGTTAATCTGGTCATGTGAAAAAATGACACATCCCGGCAAAAAAGTAATCAGAATTGTGAAAAGTCGGATGAAAAGTCTTCGCATTTTATTGCCGCAATTACGTATCAATTTGGGCACAAAAATACGGAGTAAAAGGGTAGCAGCATTCAAATTTGGTAACTATTTCTCCCTCCTGCCTTTTTATCTTTTGACAATTCACTAATGAAGCTATTACGGAGTATTTTACCTTATTGTCCAAGTGGCGTTCTCCAACTCCCCTGCATTTTTTGTCCAGCCATTTACCCGTGGATAAAATAACCGCGTAGATATTAGATTTTGAGCTGAATCGGCCTTTTGAAAAATTAGTAAGCTGTGTTTATTGTTTTTCAAATCATTCCTGTCTGGATCAGGACGCCGCCTGTCTGTATTAAGATGTCTGTGTGAACACAAAACCGAAATAGAGAATGATTTTAAAAAGGTGAAGAAAATTAAGTAAATAAAAGTATTGTGTAATTGATGAATATTGATGTTACTGTGGATGTAGTTATTTTAAAAAATAATGATAATGTCGTCATTTAACAACATTTAATTTTACCAAAATGGAAATGGAAACTGGAAATTGGATCTAAAAAGGGCACCTGAGAACCTTAGATTAGTATATTTCCAATTAGTGAGAGAGATGCTATTATAATATATAGTTGTATGATTAGTATATGTTGAAGTTAAGTTATCACTTTCCTTTTTGGGCAACCGCTAAATTAAGTCACACTTTCTTACTTTCCTTATTTGGCAAATTATCTACATCAAAACAATGTCAAACAGTGCAAAACAGTGTCCAAACAGTGCAAAACAGTGTCAAACGGTGTCAAAACAGTAAAATTTACCCCCCAGTAAATTTATTTCCTTAATATGTGTGAAATTCATCCCGTAACTTAATTGGAGGATGGAGGGAGTATATGTATTAACGTATAATATAGAACCTTAACCACTCTTTCATTTGGCCTTGATAGACATACATAACTCTATGTTCACCCGTGAAACTAAAACCCTTGGATTCTTTGCTATTAGTGGATCGAACATGTCACTAATAACAAAGAATTTTTGTTACTGTATGTTTACCATCGTTGTGTTGGATACAACATCCATAGGAAAACATAGTCAAACTTTCCTTCGCAAGGTTAGATTTTCATATTATTCACTTCGTCTCGTTAAAATTGTCTCATTTTTCTTTTTATAGAGTCTCACTAAAATTATCGCATACCAAATTTGGTGAACTTTTTATAATCCTAAAACATTCTTACTTTATTCTTACGGAATACACACTAATAAACACTAAGCGGACTAGGACTCAAGTTACTCCACGGGGCCAAATTGATCATTCGGTCTATTATAGGGATCACTCCATATGACTAGTCGGGGTGTGATCAGATTCAAGACATATTACTAATATAACTGAATTCTAATCACAATTATTAATAATACTTGGATAAAACTCAAATAAGTTTGAATATGACAAAAAGTAGTTAATATGGAATGATATATAAAACAAAACAGAGACAGAGTTCTTGGGTTGGCCATATAAAAAGCTAAATGGACATTATTATAATGGCCTAATGGGGTGGACGTGAAACAAAAAATTTTAAATTTAGATGAAAATCGAAAATTTGATTTTTCAAATGAAACTTACAATAATTACGGTAATAATTAAGAGCAGTAGGGCTTAATTAAATGATGTTGGGTTAGAGCAACATTAAATCTATATTAAGGTCATTTTCACATTGCACCATAATAATTAAATCTTGAATTATTATTTCAACATTTGCTTGCACGACCTAGCTAGCTTTATAAACTACTACATATATACTGTACATTGATCACTACCCATCTGTCTTGATGCGGACCCATATTAATAAAAACTCTATCTCTCCCCACTTTTTCTCCTTCCATTTCTTTTCTTTTTTCTCATCAAATATCTGATCGATCGAGAATCCTAATTTAGGCTCGCTCAATTGGTGCACATATATTCACGTACTGTTCAAGCTAAGGTTGTATATACTATATACATATATAGGAATCTCGATCCACCCATGGACGGCGGCAGATTCAGCAAGCAGCTGCTTTTCGGTAATAATTACGACCAAGATGACTCCGAGAACTCGCCGGAGAACAGCGCCGGCTCGCCACCATCCGCCTTGCTCCCTGAGACCACCAAGATCGCTACTTCTTCAGCTACTTGTTCTTCTAATAAGCAAAGGTTGTTTTTTCGTAAACCACGTATATTATCATTGTTCTAAAACTCGCTCAGCGCTAACCGGACAGTACGCTGAGCTGATTATTGTTTTTCGTTCACATATGCATGGTCCTTTTTCGGTGGTTAAAATCACCGTGGATGTATCGAAAATGATCAAAAAAACAATGATCAAGAAGTATAAAAAATGAACAAACTAAAGGATTTGGAATTGACATCAAAATTGTATGATCAAATGTGAAATTAATTCAAATATTATTGATAGAAGGTAAAAATGGATGAACTGAATTACTCTACTTTTGATTTTCAGTAGACGTCGTTCTATTCAGAAAAAAGTGGTGTCTGTGCCGATCAACGAAGTAGATGGATCTTCGCTGAAGGGCGAGATCACTTATCCGCCGTCCGATTCTTGGGCCTGGAGAAAATACGGTCAAAAACCCATCAAAGGCTCTCCTTATCCCAGGTATAAATACATGCAAATTCACTATAGGTGATTGCAGAGTAGCTATATATGAATTTTGAAAGTTCCCGAAATAGGACTAAAACAGTTTAAAAATTCCAAAATAGGACTGTCATGTTTTTTATTTCCAAAATAGAAGTAATTACTGCGAAATTTAGAAAATACTGCCATGTTTGAAATCTGGTGTTGTCAAAACATGACAGTAATTAGTCATATTTTGGGAATAAAAATGACAGTCCTATTTTGGAATTTTCAAACCTTTTTAGTCCTATTTCGGGTAATAATCTCATATGAATTATATTCGGCTTAGTCAGGGCAAGCGTATTGAGCTGAACTGGTACAAATATTTGTTTTGAAACTTCTTTTACCCAAATTTTAAAGAAAATAGAAATTTGGAGTGGAACGGGATCGAAGATAACCCCGGGTAACAAACGAAATGATGATTAATATATGATTAACAAAATTATAATGGATAAAAAAGTGACTTTTTATAGGTATTGACACTATTTTAAATTGTGGTCACCCACTATGGTTGCGACGACTGCCTTCTGAATTAGTTTTACATTCAGATGAAATAAAAAATTAAGTTAGCCTTGTAATCCTGGCGCGGTCTAATGTGGTCTGATTAGGCGCGGGTTTGGCTTGGTGATACTCGGACCCGTATGAGGTTACGTTGCGGTTGGATTGAAGTTAATTATGTTGTGATTTGTACTGTGAGTTTCGAAAAACAACGCAATGGCATATGATCAGTTGTGCTTAGGATTGCAACCGCAATACTGCGATTCCTCCTGATTATGAAAGTATTGGGAGTGAAGGGGATGGGAGCGGAGCCAGAACATTGGGACGGACTGAGCCGGTACAAAGAATATATTTGGAAAAAAAATTACACAAAATATTTTGCACTAAAAATATGAACATTTTTTAAATTTAGGCTGGGCCAGGGCCAGGATTGGCCCTCCCCTGCCTCCGCCCCTGAAGGGGATTGATTTTAGAGAAAATTGTTCTTTATATGATCAAATTAAAGGATTTTTACAAAAGTAGGATTAAGCTATGTTTTTCCCATGCGTAGGATCTATTTAGCACCGTTTTAGGAAACTTTATTTTTGTCTTCCATTTTTACCCTTCCCGTTAACATCACCGCAACCCTCTCCTTCGTTCTCCTTGTGCGAAGGCCAGTGACACTGCTACGCCTCTACATCATATCCCACGACGCTACTTCCTCCGCCGTCGTGTCCGTCGGCGAGACCACCTCCGCTGTGGTGTCCTCCGGTGCGACTGGCGGCGATGTCATATCCTCCGGCAAGACCACCTAGAAATCTGATGAGCTTCCTCTAGCAATTCAACTACAAATTTGATGAATTCCAAAAAGGAAGAAGGTGTAGGCATGGGTGAAGTGATCGATTTAGACGGCGAAGGAAGAAATAGAGACTTTGGGCGGTGAAGTATTTGGAAAGCAAAGTATCGTGAATCGATTTGGAGAACATCCCTGCAAGACATTTATCAATTTTCTTCATTGTTTGTTTATTGTCTACTTATTGTCTATTTATTTTCTATTTAATGTCTATTATTTTCTAAAAGTAAAGGTATTGTGGTCAATGCAGGTATAGTTGAGTCTTACGCTAAATTTCGATCTTAATTTTCACCATTAGAGAGTATAATACTAGTCACATTTTTATTCATAAGTTTTTATTCATCCAATAACATTTTTGTAAAGAGGTTCATTTTAATAAGTTTTGGACAATCCTCAACCGTTATTAGAGGATATTACAGGTGTAGCAGCTCAAAAGGATGTCCAGCTAAAAAACAGGTGGAGAGAAGCCGTGTCGATCCAAACATGCTTCTTGTGACTTACTCATGTGAACACGATCACCCTTGGCCGGCCGCCGCCGCCGCCAGAAGCCACCGCTACACCGCGGCGATGTCCGGAATATTGACACACCAAACAAGGTCTAAACTGGTCGTAACATCAGCCGCCGCGGCCGTTTCAGACTCGGACGATGGGAAGGAAGCAATGAGTGATTTCTCCACCCAACTTGAAGTCCAGTCCGATCATACCCACGACAAGTTTTCCCATCTCGGCGGCGGGGAGGGAGAAGAGTTTGGGTGGTTTTCCGGCTTCGAGGCGGCCACGTCCGCCGTGACGGAGGAGGATTCTGTCCTGACGGAAGCAAAGGTTATGAGTTGTACAGATATGCGGCCTTTAGTAGTTCCGGTGGGGGAGGAGGATTCATTATTCGCCGATCTCGGGGAGTTGCCGGAGTGCTCGCGGGAGTTTGAGCTGGGGATGATGGAGAGAGATGAAGATCGCCGGCGGCGGAGCTTGACGCCGTGGTGTCGGACGGCGTGATGGTATGGGTGTTGACAAGTGGGGATTTATTATTATACAGCATACGTGGATTCTTTTAATTTAACTTTGATACATGGTGGGGTTCATATATTGTTCCATATTTTATTATCAGTTATACATCAAAATCCAATTTAACCTACCCCAATTAATTATGGATTTGGTTTTTGGTCTGGGGTTTATAATTTTTATTTTTTTTAAGTAGAAAAGGAGTGAATAAATACTCTCTCTCCCACCATACAGTTACAACTCAATACCTAAAATGAAATAAAAATGATTTTTTTTTCCTCCTTCATTTGTGTTTATTTTGTTTTTTCATGCATGCCTTAAATCTTGGAAAAACAATGAATAGTATTTTCAAAAAGGCAAACACCCAATTCAACCAGTCACAATGATAAGAATAAAAGAACGCAGTAATTTTGTGTGTTTACTGTACTGCATATAACATGATGGAAAAAATACTTACTAAATTCTTTTAGGTAAAAAAAAGTAACTAATTTATTCACCCAGGCCAGTGAGTGGCGGTGGCAATTAAAAAAGATACGAAAATATACAAATCAATAAACAAATAAACATACTTTGTGCAGTGGAACTGATGAATTCAACCATTATTTGATAGATATTTTGTGTTCTTTATCATTTGAATAGTTCAATTGTGTGTGTTTCACTAATTAAGGTACCTAGGCTTATCATTAATTTTTATAGGGGTAATGCATCAATCCTCCGTGATATATAAATTCAACACATTAGTCATCGGTTGATAAATACAACACATGAGGGGTTTGACGCATTTTTTAAATCACAAAAGGCTAATGCGCTAAGTTTCTATATTGCAGAAAGTTTTGATGCATTATTGGGTGTTTGGCAAGTGACGGTTGGTTGGTTGATTGGGTCAGCTTGTTGATGACATCGGTTTTTGTGATGTTTGGTTAAAATAGTTGTTTATATGCGAATCATACATTTAGTTGAAGTTATCGTGCAACTACTTCAACCATTTTTATGATCTAAAAATGAAAATTTAATCCTTCAAAAACATGATAATTTAAATGAGTAACACCAGTAATAATTCTTCCCTCCCGTAAAGAAGTTCCCGTTCGTTTTACGATGTTTGACTGACGATAAAGCAACTCGATCTCTGTCCACACTCGGATTATTTTTAGTTCCCGGTTTTCTTTTTGGATCTTCCCAAAAAATAATTCTCATTTTTCCTTTTTGAAATTTTTGTGTGGCTATCATTCAACCACAACCATATATTTCATCTTTATTCTCACTTTTTTAAAATTTGATTCAAGTCAATGTGGAAATTATTTTACGGACCTGATGAACTCGGAGGGAGTAATAAATATCCCGGAGGAGTATGGGAGAGTAATAAGAATAGAAATAAGTCAAATTACACGGGTCAATAGGGTTACTGTTTGCAGTAATTTAAATATTGAAACAAAGAGTAGAAAAAACACACAAGCACGTGACTAAGACTAATAAGAAATGTGATATTCTGAATCAATGCGCATTTCAAGCAAAATACTACGTAAGAAATAAACAATCACGTGACTAGGTCATGGCCAGCCCTAACAGTGTGTTGGATCAGCGCAAACGAGAGGGTGTGAAAAAATTGAATGGAGTGGACAGAAACAGGGAAGATGAGGAAATTGATGAGAGTGGATCGGAGTGGAAGAACTTTAATACTCATTACTCCACTACACCAAAACGTCTCTATGAAAATATTTTATATTGTTCTTGAAGATTTTAGATTTATATTATGCTTATGGGTTTTATTTTTGTTCTTTTCTTTTATTACTATTTACTGTGACGGATCTTTTCGTAACATATACTTCTGTTCAATTTATCTCAATATTAATTTTTAGATATCAAGAGTAATTGAAAGAATGTCACAAATATTACTTCATCATTTTTATTGGACAAATATATTACCAAAACTTGGAGTTTGTCGCTTCTTATTCCATCTCGTTTTGATTAAGTTGTGTATCTTACTTGGAGTCTTGCACTGGGCTGATATAATACTACTTTTATAAGTTCTATATTTGTTTAGCCTTTTAAACAATTGGGCCTCTGCGAGTGGACTATGCTTTGGGGGGGAATTTTTTTTGAGGGTTCAAAATATTTTTGAGGGGACGAAAATTATTTTGAGGGGACGAAAATTTTTGGGGGGTTCAAAATATTTTTTGAGGCGACGGAAATTATAAAAAAATTTAATAAAATCATAACCCTTATAATCCATGGTCTATCTTGGACTGCTTTCCGCTCAAGTCCCGAAGTCTAAAAGCTCCAAGCCAAATCTGTTCGTCTGCCCTTGCCTCCCTTCCGTCAATCATCATGGAGCGCCACCAGTGCTGGATATGCCGTTCGTAATGGATCTAGGGTTACACGTGGCGGAAGGCGACAGTTAGGGTTACATGATGTGGCAGTGATGGAGGCTAATGGTCACGAGCGGTGGAATGACGACGACTACGATTACAGGTTCGGTGGTGGGCTGGCCGTGACAGGGAAAGGCAATCCTCGATGAAGCGCCGCTGGTGCTAGATCCGTCGTCCTCGATGCACTATGACTTGGGGCCACCGCAGCTGGCGAGCGGGTGCGACGAAGGTTTGGTGGAAGTGCTGTAACACCCCGCCTCGTAGGGCCCGAGGTAGTTACTCCTACACACCCTCCAGGCCTCTAGTACTGTCTTCACAAACCGCCACTACCCTTTTCCGCGCACTTTGTCCTCACTCGTGCGCGCCCTGAGAAACTTCTCAGGGGGTCACCCATCCCAAAACTACTCTCGTGCAAGCACGCTTAACTTTGGAGTTTTTAGCTGTTGAGCTCCCTTAAAAGGAGATGCACCTTGTTGGTATGAGTAGTACTATTAATTCATTTAAATTAAATCTCAAGTATTTCAATCACTCCCACTTAGGAACGCAACGTCCTCGTTGCGCCCATAAACCAATCTCAATCATATCCCAGAATCTCTTCCCCTACTAAGTGCCCGCCCGATATCCAACGGATCAACACACTTTCGTAGGGTTTCTCTGATACCATTTGTAACACCCCGTACTGTCGAGTAATCTTGGGATGGGTGACCCCTTGGGAAGTTTCTCAGGACGCGCATGAGTGAGGACAAAGTGCGCGATAAAGGCTCGTGGTGGTTTGTGAGGACAGTACTAGAGGTCTGGAGGGTGTGTAGGAGTAACTACCTCGAGCCCTACGATGCCGGGGTGTTACAAGTGCGGTGGTGGTATGGGTAGGTTTTGGGATAACTGGCCGGAGAAGCGCCACTGCCATTGGGGAAGCAGTTGTACAATGGTTGTGAATGGGCCAGGGAGGGGCCAGCGAGGGGGAGGGCGGCTGGCCACCTAACATGGAGGTGGTGGTGAGGAGACTGTGGCGTGTCACTGTGGCCGGAGACGGCGTGTCATTGTGGCTAGAGAAGGTGTGTCACTGTGGTAGTGGCTAGAGAAGGCGTGTCATTGTGGCTAGAGAAGGTGTGTCACTGTGTCATTGGGTGAAAAATCTGATATTGACAACTCTTGGTGACATGAAAAAATCGCAGTGACATAAATATTTTGCAGTGACATCATGTTTTCCAGATATATGGCATTTTTAATCACATTTTTGTCAATATTTAAAAGTAGTCATAATTTTGGAATTTGACTTTATTTTAATTGATACTACGCATCAATTAGTAAACATTTAAAAATTAAAGTAATGTGTTCATAATTGTATGTTCAAACGTTTCCAAGTAAAATAGAAAAATGAAATATATACTTTAATTTATACAAATAACTAAACACAAATTTTAATGGCCTAAATAAAGAGAAAATTTCAAATATTGTATTGATTACACAGTGACAAAAAGATAAGATATTATGTAAATAAATTCCTATTTTAGTTTTAGACCAATCTCTTTCTTTTCGTTTCTTTTTGTTTCATTGATCGCGCAGTCCGACAAAAAAGGAGTTTGATTTAACAAAAACTTAAACCCTATGGTCTATTCGAACAATTGTTTACAATGTCGACTATTTGGCCCTCTTAATTCATAGATGTAGATTTGAGAACTTTTAGTATGACTAGTACTAAAACTTTGAAAGGAAAAAACAAGTGAATTAGACAAAAGGAAAAGCAAATGCAATGATGTAATATAGCTTAAATAATTTCTTCTAGATTGGGGGTCATCCAAATAACCAAGAATAAAACAAATGCCAGTTGCGGATATTTTCATCGAGATTCTTAACTCGGATAGTAGTTCAGTTTTGCATTCTTCAATCCATTGGAGGGAGTGTTTAATTGATTTCTCTGCTCTGATCATATATTTGATTAAAATAATGTTTTATCAAGTTAAAACGTACATAATTCCAATGTTGCTAATCATGATCCGTCATATATAAGAACAATGCACCTACCATTATTGAGGACTTCACTAATGACGCATATCCCTTGCATTATCCTCAAAGCAGGTCTTTACAATGAACGCAATCTCTAACATGAATCTATATGATTAGCTTTATGTGTCTATATCTAGAACTAGTCAAATATTTATACTCGTCAACCAAGCTACATGCATAATGGTCTTAATAATTTATGTCTCATTTGATTGTACTTTATCAGAAAAATATTAGAATATTATGCTTACAATAATGTGTATGTATCACAGTCCAATCACATAAATGATTGGCTACTAATCATATTATTCACAAACTCAATAATACTAAGGGGAATTTAAAATGCTAGAGAAAAGTTAATAAGTTTGATACATCATTGAGTACTAACAAGCTAATGTAGTCAAAAGCGGGCGCTTGGGCGCTTAAGCGCACCAGGCGTAGTGCACACCAGCCCCATTGACTGAATAACGGCCAAGCATAGCCCCTTGTGTAAGGCGGCGCATAAGCGCTAGAGCGTTAAAAAGCGTCACTTTTCTAGCATGACAGGAAAACACGTTTCAGTCTTATATTTAACCTTCAGACCATTTTAAATAGGCTATCCTTTTAAATAACTCCATATATTTAATAAGGTAAAGCTCATCTAAATGAGGTCAAAACAGTGTAAACCTACGCTAAACAACACAAGTGGTCGTGTTCTTTTCGGCCATGTCACCTTCTTCAACTACTCATTCCTAGTATAAATGCCAACATTTATTTCATTGTAAAGGGTTAACAGTTTTGTACTCACAAGCAATATACTTCTCTAGATCTTGTATTAGCATTTAACTCACTATTTGGTATCAAGATCTCGTTCGTCCATATTTGTGTAATCAATATATTCATCTCAATACAATTGTCTGGTTGTGTCTTATTGTTGTCCATTATTCACATTCTCCTCATCTTGACCATAGCATTCCGACAACATCCAAAGGAATGTGTTGGGCCTTTAGAGTTTGGACCTTAAGGAATAAACCTCAACCTAATTCTCCCTGGAGGGTGTTGAAGAATAACCTGCATATAGCACAGTCGGCTGCTCTCAACAACATGAGCCCCCTTCTAGCCCATGATGTCTGCATGGGGATCCCTGACCCCATTGTAGATCAAACTGGACGGGGACCAGCAGTCTCTCAAGATCTTTGCGGCCATGATTTATGTGGTGAACACTAAAAAAACACGGGATTGACAGGGATTTTGGAAGGGATTTGGCAGGGATATGTCAAATCCGTGTCAAAAACACTTTGGCATGAGCTATTTGGCACGAAAAAAACGATAAATCTATGCCAAATTTTGTGCCAATCTCGTAATTTTTTGTAGTGGAAGGGGGGGTGATCCCAACACGGGGTTGCGGTGTTCTGTTCCACTGATGGGTCAGATCATTAATCTGTCGCAGGAGGTCTGCCATGGTGGCGATTGATTATTTTACGAAGTGGGTGGAGGCCGAACCTTTGGCCAATATCACAGAATTTCAATGTCAGCGCTTTCTCTGGCAAAACATAATTTGCCGATTCGGACTGACCGAACATATCATCACTGATAATGGATGGCAATTCGTCAGTGAGGGGTTTGAGGATTTCCTAACGAAATGGGGGATCAGACATTCAAAAGCTTCAATGGACTACCCACAGACGAACGGTCAGGTGGAGACTATGAATCGAACCA